ATATATACATATACACACACACACACATATATATATATATATATATATATATATATATATATATATATGTGTGTGTGTCGCAAAGTGTGGCGGGAAACCACTTAAGTATTGTGTTTTGTCACTAGAAGGAACTTCTTTTGACTAATAATTCTTTTGTAACAACCAACTGCAGGACAGGCCTCCTTAAATCAGGGTACTCTTCGATGACGGGTTACATTTACCTGTGGCGAGCCTCTCTGTTTTCTGGGAGTATGACTAGTTATAAATGTTACCAATCCATCCGTAATATCCTGTTGTAACTGTTGCTATGTTTATCTGTCGAATCTAATATCCGATAGGCACGTGGTAAACATTTCAGCTGAAAACGAAATCAAATCACGTGACCGTTCTGAACATAATAAACAACTATTTATTACTAAAAATGACTACACAGTTCCGCCTACTTTCTTCTTTCTTTCTGTCTGTAGCTGGAGCGAACACTAGTCTCTGCATAAACATTTCTTATCTTTTAGGCTTTTTACTATGAATAGTCAGTTTAAACATTAGTAGCGACTTCTTTCGGCTTTGTTCTTTATTTTAAATCGTTTTCTTCCTTTTTAACTCATCTCGTTCTTCTAACTACGCGGGAAGGTAGCCCCGTGTCTCTAACGATCAAAGAACAAGACTGGCTTTACTGATTTACTGGGGTAGCTCTCTCCCAGTAGTGACTGCGGGTGTGGACCTTTCTTTTTCGGACACTGGAATTGGTCTTTTCTTCAGACAAAGAAGATTATTGTTATAAAAGCCAAATGCTTCAGCTGGCTTGTTCTGGCCTCTAGATAAACTCATAAATATATTTCTTTATTTTCCGAAGTCAGGTCGAGCGACAAGAAACACCTGTATTTTGTGGGAATAAGAAAATATTCAAATAATTTTTGCTCGTTAGCTCATTGAAAGATTTTAAATTAAGAATACAGATTTTTGCTTTCACCAATTCCAATCCGAAAGGCTTAATCAAGAGTTTTATACATTGTAATTAACCATTTCGTTTGGTTCATTTTTCCATTATAGTCTTCTCAACCTTCCCTATCGCCACATACTTACATTCGTTTAATTACTATAATTACTTCGTTCATTCCAGCCACGAAAAATTATATGTACACTACTTGATTGAGTCTTTTTTTTTACAAAGTTGTTCACCTTGTACAAGGTCCGAGGGCCACTCAAGGTAGTGGATTACAGAATAAGAATCACAGCTGTTATAACCTTCCTAAACCAGATCTTCTGGTTCATGTTACACAAATTTCCACCACTGGCTGGATGTGAAAGCTCCGAAACCCAAGACCGAACTAAAAATTCCATTAAACACGCATCAGCTCTGCACACACCTTCCGCTTTCCTCGCACATTCAAAACAAAAAAAAACCCAAAAAACATACAATCCAATTTTTACCCAATAGCACCCACTCCTGCCTAAAGAAGCGAAATAGGAATTGGAGCGGATCTGAGCCTACGAAAGGACTTAAAAGCCCATCAAAGAGCCATCTTCGGCGGTCGGTTGGCACAACAGGCAGGGTTCACACGCTCGCCAGAACGCCATCTCCACACCCAAAGACAACCGGCCTCCCATCTCCAAGGACAACTCCCCAAAGCCCGTCGCCGCAGTAAGTCACAACTCACTCTCCCTCTACTACCGTAAGCCACTTACTTATCTCTTTCTTTCAACGAAAGACTTTCACACCACTTCATCATTCGTTGTATTTTTTTTTTATTAATACAATTATTTATTTCTTAAACCTCTGTCTTGTTTCTGCCACCATACGCTTAATATAACACAGCTTATGCCGATATATTTGGAAGAGAACGGTTAACCCCAGACTTGAATAGGTTAAGAATGTAGTGATCGGGGAAGCAACCTCTCGGGAGTTGGTTCGTTGGAAGAAGCTGCTCGAGTGGAAATTGCATCTCACCAAATGACTACGAAGGGAATGAGGGTGATTGGATACAACGTGCATGACATGGCGAGTCTTAGCCGTGAAGGTTAGAACTGGTGAAACTAAGGAGTGTGGTTCATCTGAACAATCTCAATGGAAATAACGATAAAACAGCGAGACTTGCGACATCTCGTCTATGAGAAAGGGGTTGCAGAGTTGAAAATAATTTATCACCTACAAGGACACGGTGACACTTTTGGACTCTCTATCGAGAGAGGGAAGTGAAGAGTGGACAGCTCCCGCACATATATGGCAGCAGTAGTCTATTTTCATCCTGATCTGGCTCATGTAAATGTAGAAGGATAGCAAGAGTAAGACCTTGCTGGAGCGATACAGAGAACCATTTTTCCAGTATCTTTAGATACGGATTATATGTACGAGTGTATGAGGTCTGGGCTGAGTTTGTCCCAATAGGCGCTCAAGGTACGAAGCCTCCCTGTTGAAGGAAACTATCTTACATCTTTTTGCAAAATAATAATAATCTGGAAAAAGTTCAGATTTGTTGCGCACTAAGGAATAAACACTCGAACATTGTCTCGTAAACAAGCATACAAATCATTGATAGCGAACTTATTCATCACAGTGCTTAACAAATTCACTCTTATACTAAAGTTAGAGAAGTCTAATAAATATCTACAATAACATTTTCTTCTAATTAAATCTAATTTTAATTGAAAACTGTTTGAATTTATTTGTTAAAACTTGTCTAACGAGGTGATTGTATTGTATATTACACTTTTCAGATATTCACTTGCTCTAGAAATATGCAGATGATATTTCATTTTCTTGCCATGTCCTTTCAGGACATTGCCGATCATGGCTCTCCACATTTTCTGTACTTTGTAACTGTTAATAAATTTTGTTGCATTGTTATCTCTCTTAGACCTTGTGCCACCATCCATTTATTCAAGCTCTCTAGATAGGTTATGCATTGATTTTTTTTTCTCTGTTCATCTTGCCTTCAATGTGCCCTGTGCGTATAAAATTTTCCAAGTCCTCTTTCCTCATTATGTGCCCAAGAAATGTCAACTGTCTCTTCCTGATGTTAAGTATAAGTGTACATTTTGTTTCCATTTTCTCTAAAACTTCATCGTTACTCACTTTTTCGATCTATGGCATTGTCAGCATCCTGTAGAACCACATTTCTGTTGCTTCAAGTCTCTTCTTCATCTGTGAAGAGATTTCCTAGTTTTCACTGCCATATATAAGGACTACTATTACATAAAATTTCTGAATTCATTTCCTTGTTTCTATACGATTTTCAGAGCAAGTTTGGAGCCCAAAACTAGCAGTCACCATACAGTGTTGATTCCTTTGTCTACTCGCTCGCTCTCTCTCTCTCTCTCTCTATATATATATATATATATATATATATATATATATATATATGTGTGTGTGTGTGTGTTAGTAGAAGCTGCCTTCAAAATAATTTAATCACAGATGTCGAATATAGTCAGAGTAACAGTGAATCCACACTGATGTATTTTCATTTATTTGCCTACTTTTCTCTAAACATATATTTAAATATATCCTTTTGATATTTTTAGATAAAAATCAAGACAAATATTATGAAACAAATACTCAACAGATATTAAATTAATTTCTTATCCTTGCTCATGTGTCTCTTCGTCTGCCCTTGCTAATCCGATTGCTGTAGTATAAGAATATTTCTATCAATCTTTTCACTCATTGTATATTCTTTTGATAATATTATCAAGATGTCATGATTGATTTTTGTTGATTGATACTTCAACCATCATGACCGAAAAAATTCAGTTTCTTAATTCTCACTTCTGCGATAAACTTAAAAGGGGACATGTTTCTTTTGACTTGTTAACCTTGGTTGACAGGTAAAGGTAGAATTTGAAAGTAAATGCATTGTGGCATGTTGTGGCATTGCATTTTAACAATCTCGGAATTCATTACATACGAGGTTGTTATATATTTTTACGTACATAATTTGGCGTAAAATAGCCTAGGAATAGCCTAGTTTCTTCAACAAACTACTAACATTCTACTCTGAGTGAGAAAATGAATGATAATGTGTCCCTTAAAAAATTTATGACATTTGGGTACCAATTTCTTACGGCAATCCAGTTTTTAATGACGTTTTATTTGCTGAACTGAAATATTTTCTTGTCTTAGAGGGAGAAAACAATTTATGCGACGGGTTGTTGTAATTGCATGGGTTTTGAGACAAATGATAGAGGCGTTTTGTATGTGACATGTTGTTTTATTGGGGGAGTTGGCTAAGAAAAATATCCAGAGGGGAAGCGTGACACGTCTTGTCACAACGATATCCAGTGAATGAAGAGAGTAGAAATAGAAGAGAGGATTTCTGCTCTTTCCTTTTATGGTGGTTTTTTTTTTACAACTCCACCTAGTGAGCGTTGAGGAAAGTCTCTTGGAAGAGAATGTTGGATAATCCCACATATTAAACACAACAACAAAGATATATAAGAAATCAGTTCAGAATTTATTAACAGATATCCACTGCAAACATGCAAAAGATTTTGCAAAATATATATATATATATTTTAAAAGTAAAATAACAAAAAAACAACTGAAACCTCAGCAGAGAAAATAAAATATAAGACTCTTATCAAACACTCATCTGACTGAAATTGCGATTTTAAATAAAGCTGTAATACTAAAAGGAAGGATAATGTTTAGACTGTTTACTAAGTATTTTTAAAAAAATATTGCTTATTTAATGATAAAACGGAGGCTGTAAAAATCTTATCAGTAACGCGCATATTTAATAAAAACGAAATTCTTTCGTCGTTAGTGACGTCAAAAAAAAAAAAATCAAGGAAACAACTAAAATGGAAGTTTTTAGTTGCTTCCTTGAATTTCTCCATTTTTAAAACAGTTGGTACAAAAATTTCACATGACTCGTAAGAAAGGTAATAAATTTTATTTAATTTGTCTATTTTCTGTTTTTATATCTTTTAAAAATATTTTATTTCTGTTTTGTGTGATGCCCTATTTAACAATGTTGGAAATAGTTTATTTACTGTTAAAAAAATTAAACTGAAGTGTGACGAAGAAAGAATAAAAGGAAATAAAAAATCTGTAGCAATAAAAAGGAAACGAAAAAGGAAGAAAGAAAGGATTTGATGAAATGGAGAAAGAAGGTTAAAGGGAAAAAGAAATAAAAGAAGCGGTGAAGCAAAACAAAAGTAAAATAGACGAAAAGGAAAATACTAATCCAAAGGGAGGAAGAAGAAATTTATTCTTAATTTCATGCAGATGCTGACGCATACACCCCGAGCGCATGCGCGCAAACACATATGCGCGTTCGTAATAATTTGCTTCCAGTAGCGAGAGTTTGTATTTTGTTGAATACTTTAGGTACCTCCCCAAAAAGGCTTAAAAATACATTTTAAAAATGAGATATCTATCTTGAAGCTTTTATCTTACTTTTAATTGCAAGCTAATATATTAAATTTAATATTTCCAACCAGCAAAATACTTTGCTGTATTTCAAACCGAATTTAAATTGATTTATTTTTTTAAACCACTAAAATGGAACATATTGACAAATTTGTCAATACAACTTAATTCTCTTTATTAAAAAAAAATTTAAAAATAAAATATACATATCTGTAACTTTATTTGAAGAACATTAACTAATTTAAAATTTAATTAATCTGAATTAAAACAAACATTGCTTACTTTTAGTTTAAAATATCATAGGAAAACATTTTTAAAACATGTGTTTTATGAAGTGTTGACAGATTTATGGATAGCTTAATGTTTGTCATTTTTAAGTAAAGGGGTACATAGTTGTAAAAAATAATTGACGAATACAACGTGAACGCCTTTTTTAGACATTTTTTAGCTGCTCAGTAATACTGAAAATTTTGGAAAATATTCTAAGTAATGTAATAGTTTATTGAATTTTAGGTACTTTAGCTTTATAGTCTTAATTACGAAGACGTTTATTGTGGAAATGTTAGAAAATGACCAATATATTTTAAATTTACTATATATACCGCTTTTATTTCCTGATAATGTCGTGTATGGAAATTCGTATTTACAAAAATCGGCATGTTTACGCACACAAAAATATTCAAAATTGTTTTTGAAATACTGGGGTTCGCTGAATCATTTATGATTAGTAAATAATAGTTTTTACTTAATAAATAAAAATATCAGCTAACCGCTATAAATTAATGCAGAATTTTAAAAGATTTAAAATTTTTATAAATTATTATTATTAATTTTAAAAAAATATGAAAACAATTCTTATAAAAATACATTATTCATAAAAAAAAAATGTTTCTTAAGACTATAGTGTCCATAATGTTATTCATAAATGCAATTAAAAAAATTTCTAATTAAATAATGTTTTAGTTTTATTGCATTTTCTATTTTCCGATTTAGAGCAGATTTTCTGTAACTGGAGGTCCTGTTTGACAAAAAAATTTAATTTTAAATTCTCCAAGGACTTGTCCTTATAAGTAATAAAAAGTAATAAAAATTAAACGCCACAAAAATAAATTTCTCAAAATTACATAAAATTAAATAAGTGGGATACAACAGTTGTAAAAAAAAAAAATATATTTTTGCAAAGGTCTTCTAAAAAAGAAATGTTCCTAAAACAATTTAATTAATTTCTGAACGTTTCATAAAAATCCGACATTTATCTAATTTTTGCAAGAATTTCCGAATCAATGTCTTTATTAATCACAAAATGACGCTAAAATTTCCCATGCTAATTTTCTTTGACACGAGAAAATAAAAATTTTTAACAAAAATTTCGAAGGTTTTTAGGATAAAAAATATAATTTAATAATAAAACATCTCCTTTGGTCTTTCATAATAATAATAAGTTTTATTAAGTTTTGGGCATTTTTCCATCATGTATGCTCATTTTTAATGCAAATCTTTGGAGGCCCTACTTTATAAAATGGCTGACCTTTCTTTAAAATTTTCAGTTTTAAATTTTCATTATTTATTTTCTATGCATCTCTAGGCATCTTATGAAAGTCGGGAGGTCCTAATAAATTCAGTGTGTGGAAGTTTTATTTGTATAACATGAACGGAGAAATCTTTTATTAAAAGGACGTTCGGAAAATCAAAAGAGCCAAAAATTCAGAATTTAAGCAAAGAAATATTTAAAAAACAATAAGTTTCTCGAAGAATAGAACATTGTAATTCTGGAAAGAACAACGAAACACTATTTTTAAAAAACAATGCAATCATAAAAGCGTGCAAGTTAATATTTGAACTTTTTTCTAGTTTAAGCTCTGGGGAAAAGTACAAAATTAATAAACGGCGTGGTCATAATAATAGGGTCTTTAAAAATACGCCCCCCTGCTTCTAATAGCATACTAAGAGTATGCAATTTAATTTTTATTTAATTAATTCTAATGACCTTCAGTTTCCAAGGTATCTCTATGAAGGCAAAGTTTAAGAAGGTCGTCCTGACACATAAACATCATTATATTAATGATCTACACTCTACAGTGTTTCATATTAATTAAATAATTAGTATTCATTAATTAGTATTAATTAATTAATCAGTATTTCATGTTAATTAATTTCATAAAATAGTTTGTGCAAACCAAATAAATGCCATATAGCATTTTTGCCTGTTTCCAAAGATTAAGAAGTTTACGAGTTTTAATCATCCTCGTATTTGAGTAAGAGCCGTTTTCAGTTAGAAATATTTGAGATTTCACAAACGCACACGTGCGTGCAAAAAACATCATAAAAGAAACTGGCCACAAAAAAAATGTTCAATAATAATTCAGTCAAAAAGTCACAGCAAATAGAGGAATACTGCTTTTCCGGGTTTTGTTCAATTTAATTTTTTGTCGCTAAAAACAATTGGCTGTTGACATGTTTTTAAAAAATATTCTGACATTGCTTTTCTTCACCGTATCAATAAGTGGTAAAAACTGATCGATATAAAACGTATCTTTAAAGTTAACTCAAGATGCTGTTAAATGTTAATTCGAGCTAAATACAAGGTTTTGATGTCTAAAGCCTTAACCGCTTCAAACTTTTTTTTAAAACTAAATCAATGTTTTTGTAAAAATAAATAAACTTAGCCCATCTCATAATTTCTGCTTTAAATCAAGGGCGTTAGTGTTTAAAAATGAACACTACCTCATATTTTAAAACTGAAACGCTTACCCCTCCTCACATTTTCATACTAAATTTAAGGTTTTTTATTTAAAAATCTACTCTGTCTCTGTACTTTCAAGTAAACGTTTTAGTTTTAAAAATTACCCCACTTCACGTTTTCAAACTAAATCAAGAGATCTTTAAAAAATTTACCCTGCCTCATATTTTAAAAGTAAAAAAGTTTACCACGTCTCACGTTTTTAAACTAAATCAAGGCCTCTTTTAAAAAATTACCCTACCTCATATTTTAAAAGTAAAGGGTTTTAATCTTAAAAAGCTTATCACTTTAAAAGTAAAGCTAACAACTTCTCACGTTTTTAAATTAAATCAAAAGGTTTGATGCTTAAAAAGTTACCCTGTCTCATACATTAAAAGTAAAGGGTTTCAGTTTTTAAAAATTTACCCCTTCTCACGTTTTAAACTAAATCAAGGGTTTTCTGAAGAATTCATTTAGATCGATCAATCTTTAATACTTACTGAGATAGCATCGATAATCGATGATCATTGCGAACCATTATAAAACTTCAGTAAATTGCTACAAATATTTTTTCCTAATTAAATTCTATCATTTAACTTTGGTTTTGATATGGATATTACCCAAGACTAATTTACACTTGCACAAAGCCAAATATGGTGACGCTGGGGATCGGAATATTGTATTGCGCCAATTTTCCTTATTAAGAGACTGCCTGCCTTGAAAATCCATGATCCTGGATGTTTTTTTCTCTCTCTCTCTATATATATATATATATATATATATATATATATATATATATATATATATATATATAGGATTTGAACCACACACTATATTACTATAATGTACCACAAGCGAATAAAAGAATAGTTTTAATTTTGCCGAGCAAGAAAAACAAAGTAAAACAAGGTGTTAACAATATATTTGGAGAGACGGGCAGTTGTAAAAGATCCACTGTTGTACATATGGTCGTAGGCTGAAGTTGTATCCGTGATGATCTTACATTTATCCGGAAGTACAGCGTAATTATAATTGAGTAGAACTTCCACGAAGCTTGGATCACATGACTGTACCAGCTTGATGACGTCATCGATTCCCGCCTTCCAGATTCTAACATCATAAGAAAGAAAGATAAGTTTCGATTAACAAATATGTTGTGTCCAGTGGAGTACTGGCCAGGGTGTCAGCTTGCCCGATGGCGAGTGGGTCCCCTAGATCAAATAAAATTGCAATAAAGAAACAAACACAGACAACTGTTTTAGTAATAAAAAGGAATAAGAACTTTATAAAGTCATCTGCAAACTATCAGTTATTCAAGTTCATTGTGAGAAGATATTTTCAAAGCTAAAGATCATAAAGGCACGTTTAAGAAATTCGCTGCTGGAAAAGAATTTAGAATCATGCATATTGCTCTCTATTGAAAATATTGTCAGATGAAAAAGCAATTATTGGCAGATTCGTACAATCATCTAGCAAACACAAATGATTGCTCTTAACCCATTAACTGCCAAATTTTTTTAATGCACATTTTTGGCCCATACAGGTGTCTTAGGAGTTTATTTATTCCTTATGTTTAATTTCAGTAGTTACCATTGTCATTTTTATAGAAACTAGAACATTAAATATACACATATATAAAACATCAAAAAATAATATTGATTAGAAATAATAAAAAAATACTTTTCAAAATAGTCATTATTTTTCTACTCTTGAAATGTAAAATTACGACAGAAGGTGTCTTCTTACGGCTAATAATAAAAACTTCAAAGGCTAAGTGTTGTAAAATATACCTCTGCAAATGCATGTATGTAAGCAATTCAATGTAAATACAAGGAATAACATGTAGTGAGTTTAATTTTAACACATCCCCAAATGGGGCTCATGGCAGGTAATGGGTTAAGTGAGGATTCTTCGAGACATCTCTAAGAATTTTCCATTCTCTCAGAAATTAACCATTTTCTGCCCTTCCTTAATTTATTCTCAACACAATGAGTCTCATTGTACTTCTTTATAATGCTACGAATTGTCGATCTAGGAACATTTAAATTCTTGGAAAGTGCTGTATATCGATTACGGCTCATGGCAGGTAATGGGTTAAGATAATAAACTGCAATCAGTACTATGTAGCACTATTGAACTATCTGTTAATGTGTAAATTGTGCAGTAAACTATTTAAAAATATCAAACAATTATTCAAAATTAAAACAAATAAAAATTTAAATTATAACATTCTATATTTACATTTGGTATCTACTGCCAGTAAAATGTACAGGACATGTACACTTTAATTATTAAGTAATATACATTTTTCCCACAACATTTTTAATTGCACCCTTTTTCCCGTGTGTATTTTTTAAATGTTATTTATTCATTATGATAATTAAATGATAGCATTGTAGTTATGAGTAGACCATCTTTGTCTTTTGACAACCAATGTTTTTAGAGCCATTCCATCATAGATAGTGTATTTACAGGTTGGTTATGGATTTTTTTCCGTTACGAGAAATAACCAGAGGAAGTAACGTTGCGTCCTACTTGGGCACCCCAGTCTAGGGCGATAATTAGATTGATTAATTACTACTGAGTAGTAAGTTCGATATTTGCTGGGGGGCTCTGTATTTATGGCCTTGCGTAGAACTAAGTTAAGAAAAGAAAAAATCTGCTTAGGTAAGGTTTATTCATTAATATCACAATCTTCGAATTCTGAAAATGTGTGACTATCCTCTTCACAGTTTGCAAGTTTTATTGCCAGTGTGATGCGATTCTTTAGGGATAACGCGCAAGTATTTTAAAAGCGTTAAAAGTGCGCATTGTACAGCATGAAATACGGTTCATTTTTGCTTTCAATGTCGCTTACAAACTCTGAAAATGTAATATAAGAGACTACATTAAACGTTTAATATAACTTATATCAAGTTAGTCTTAATTTATTTCACCGTTAATAGTTTTTAACAATGGAAAGCTGTTGTAGTTATTATTCTATGTGGAGTTTAACAATTAAAATAGAAGACACTAAATAATTATATACTAACTCTAGCTTAGTTTGTCACAAGTTTAAAACTAACTGCACAAGCAAATGGCCTATGAGGTAAATCTAGTAACTATTCAGTCACAATAGTAGACAATGAACATATCGTATGAGTAGAGGTATAATGAATGACCGATACGTTTGTAGATGATACAGGAAGGGTCCGACTGTATCCGACTGTAAAACAACCATTTCTCTAATTCCTGCAAGTAATTGTTATTTGATGGCTTATCCTATGAAAGAAGTTTAATGAAATTTCAGATATTAAGATAGAGGAGGCGCGGTGGATTAATGAATAGCGGCTTGGGTTGAGGAATCGGAGAGCCTAGTTCGAATTCCAGTCGAATCCATTACATTCACTTACATACTAATAATCCTCTTCTTCTCACCTCAGCTATAGAACTTTCACAGTTTTTCTATTACAATTTTCTGATGTATTATAATATTTAATGAATAAATAAACTCCTTGTTCCACGATTCCCCTGTTGCCTCGGTCAATAATGGAGCTTAAAAACTAAATATTGCAATAACAATCATAATTGTGACTGCAGGTCATTATTTAAAGAAGTAAGAGGGTGCAAATGAAAAGATATAAAATGGACAAGGTTCTCCATTTCATAGAAGCAGACGTTAAACACATGCGTTATCGCCTCCTCTATCTTCCCTTTCACTGAAACCAAACAGCGTCTCTGGCATCACTTTTTCATCTTTCCTCGGGATCAAAACAGAATATTCCATTATTTATGAAGTGTTGACAGGGCGTAATGGTTGTGTTAACTAAGGAACTAGTAGAATTCTCATAGGATACTAATTTCCTGAAATACTTAAAAAAAAAACCTAAGGTAGTTTTTGACTGAGAAAGACGAACGTTTCTGAAAGTATGGAACTATGAAGTTGGCTAAAAGATGAAAAAACAAAAAAACAGAAAAAAACAGTGGGATAAAATAAATATGTTGTTCATGTCGAAATTTTTTTCAAAAGTTGTCTTTTATTTTTACTTGATACTTCTGTTTCTGTGGAAATAGTGATACATCTTTGTGAAACTTACTTTGCTTGTTGTCGTATATAAATATACGTTTTCTAGACACCTTAAGATGCCAGTCACTCCGCTCAGTGCTATTTTCATTCCAACGTAGATACCAGTTGTTTTATGGCGTATTTTTATTATACTGTTTGTTGGTGGTGTCCTTTAGCATAGTCTGTGCTGAAGAATATCCTATCAAAACCAAAATAGTGACATCCAGAGTCTTTATAGTAATTTATATCCAGTAAATGGCAATTTCCTATTTTTCTTAAAACGGACCAGCACAGCCAGACAACAGTGCAGCAGTAAAATTGTTCTAAGAAACCGAACGCACTTTCTAACCAACCCAATGCCTAAATATCAACATTGGTTACTTAATGTCTGATTCTAATCCTATTAGTGTTTACGCTTAAGTTATATATATATATATATATATATATATAAAGTTCATCCATTCATTTTCTGAAAATGCTTATATATTATTGATAAAGACATGGTCAAAAATGCATAATAAATGTTTTAGTAAATGAAAAAGAAGTCGTCTTTTTATAATACCATGATTGCGGACACCTACAATGGAACAAGTATTTTAGTTTAAATTAGTAACACTACACAGCGGTTAATGATACAATCAAAACCCTCAAAATTATAGCCATAAAGCACTGCCTATGATATTCCTACGTGTTGTTTGTAAGATATGAAAAGAGATCCTTTGTTTAAAATGTCACACCCCTGCCGAGTAACAAAGGAATCTGTGAAAGTCAGTTGCTAGTTTTTTCCAACGCACTTTGCGAGATATGTCTTTGCACGGTTCAACTCGCCGGGAATTAACCAGTTTGAACAATTTACTGCGAGTGCACGTGAGATTATGCCTTGCTGTAGTCGTGCCATCGACCGAAGGTCACGAAGGAAATTTTACATTACATTTTTGCTTTTGTTCGATTTTAATCTTATTCTATCGATATCCCAGCAGGGAAATCGTAAATAAATAACAAAAGTGTTTTTTTTTTTTTTTTTTTTTTTTTAACTTTGTTTATGAGTACAGGGAGCAACCATTCTTAAAAGTTGTTTTTCATTCTTTTCCTTCAGTTGTGTGTTTGCATATATTTCAGTATACACGAGAAATATATATTATTTTTAAGCAATTAATGATCTTTTTTAATTTGACATTATTTCTGATTTAGTGGGTGCACCTGTTTGAGTAGACATCACTGTTTTTTTTTTAAACAGAGAAATTAATGTTTACCAGCTTAGAAATTGAAAGTCTTGATAAATAAAATGTGTTGCCTGATATGAATTGAACCCACATTCCGTTTTTTTAATCTGGGAAACCACTTTTAATAGAAAGCAGGGAAATAGCTACAATATAAGATTGAATTTATGTGTGTACACAAATCTTTGGCACAGAATCAGAATTTAACCTTCTTTTTGTGCTTAAACATATGTCCCATAACAGTTGTTACATTTAGTACACAAAATGTGTATATAAATGTACCAACAATTATGGGACAAAGGTAGTAATATTTTATTGGATCAAGTCAATTAAAAAATGGATATAGGAAAGATTAAACTGAGTCCATTAAAAATAAATCTTTAATGCAATATGATCCATGACTTTTTATTTTCAAGGGTTTTGGTTCTATAGGGTTCTATATTTATATTTATTAAACTTAGTTAATTTTGACATAAGGGTCAATTAAAGGAATATCTGCTTTCCGGCATGAATCGAATCTGTACTAAATTTTTATCTGGGTAACCTCTTTCAAGCCAAGTGTATTTAGCTGTGATGATTTTCGTGAGTCAGTGGTAAAACGTACTTGCTTGAAAGTGATTTCTCAGATAAAAAGAGTACAGATTCGATTTATGTCGGGAAGTGCATAAGACTTTAATTGTCCCTTATGGCAAACTTAACTGAACACAGTAAATATCAATGTAGAGCTTTATAAAACTAGAATCCTTGAAAATAAAGTCATGAATAATCTTATTGCATTAAACTTTAATTTTGTTTATTCATGTCGGCAAACACATTTTCTTTAATAAGACTTTCGACGTCTAAGC